TGTTCGACTAGGATGAATCCCTCGTTGTCTCCCTCTGCTTGGGATGCGTCCATTGAGTCGCAGTTGCTGAGGAGCAGTTTGGCTGGTGTGGACTCTTGTGATGTGGAGTCGTCGGTTTTGTCAAATCGTCGCTTAACAGGGGCGTGGGTCCGCTGACTTGGCGGGATAATATGGTAAGCGTGGTCTTTCTCAGCGGTCTCTTCAGTTAGAACCACTGGTTCGATGGCGTCCATTTGGTCAGCCTCCGCGGAGGCCATAGCTGGCCTTGTAGGCACCCAGGTTGCCCCGGTACCTGATGTTCTCCAAGAAGAAGAGTCTAGTTTTGAGACCGTGACCCAAGAAGTGGTGAAAACCGTCGGTGCGGCGTGAAAAACGTCCCAAAACCAGGAGCGGTTTGTAAAACACAAACGGGGTGGGTGACACTTCTTTTTCCTCCGTGATAGATAGGTTAGTTGGTACATCGTTCCTTTTGACAAAAGCGCGACAAGGACAAAGTAGGAGAGACAGCACAAGCGCTTGTGCTCCGTCTTTTACTTCGTTCTTCTCTGTGGCGCTTCTGTCGAAAGGAACAAGAATTACAATATTGCGCAATCGTTTCTACCTATTAAAAACACAACCAAACATCCAGACAGTCCCCGCGTGCAACATTTTAATGCCCCTTTACTACTTTAAGACAATATCCTGGGGCACAAAGTGTGACCCATTCCACAGAAGGGAACACCATTCCTTCTGTTGTAGGGTGATTTCAGATAAGATCGAACAGGGGGTGGCTGGTCGACCTTTTTAATTTGCTTCATAACTTTATATGTTATTTCCCGATGTCTAAAATAAACAAAATCAGAATTATTTTCACCAAGAAAAAAAATTGTCGGACGCAAAAAATCGTACATATCACGTAGAGGTGGAATGTCGCATTTGCTTGCATAGCCAAAGGGTGCAACTTTGGTGATTAATAACTGAAGTTATACTTCTTAGATGAGTTTCATAATATTTTAGTACAATCTATATGTACTTAGCAATACGAAAAAAAAAAATATTGTTATTCTTTAGTATGTTTTAACAAATGAATAAAAAATATCAATTTTGGCTATTTGGCCGTTTTTCCCCCAAATTTGCAGGCCTGTATCTTAGGAAATAATTTAGTCAGAAACGTGATATTTTAAGTAAATTCACTACTTATAAATGTAAGTACATTCACTAAAATTCAAACTTATTTAAGCGCGGGTTGGGGAGATTTTGGCAAGCAAACACGAGACAAGCACCATAATAAAAATATTTTAAGGCCGATTTAAAAAAAAAAAAAAAAAAGCCCGTTCTCGATTTTTTTCAAACTCTGACCAGTCATTCTCCTTTATTTGGGGGTTACTATAGATTAAAAACATGTTGCATTATATTGATGGTGTAATAGATACAGCACCTCTACCGAGCCCCTTCTGCGAAGCTCGGCACGGTGTGCGCCCCCGTGGTGCGACGCAGTTATTGCGACTTTGAGAGAAAAGGTTTTTATTTTTTTTGTTATTCGAGTATAGCAAGTAATAGTTCTTCCACATCTTTTGCACGTTATAATAAATTGCGCATTATATAGAATAAATTACACAACAGATACAGGGTGATTTCAGATACGATCGAAAAGAGGGTGGCTGGTCGACCTTTTTAATTTGCTTCTTAATTGTATATGTTATTTAACAATGTCCGAAATAAAATTAAAAAAAAATCAAGATTATTTTCACCCAGAAAAAAAAAATCGTCGGACGCAAAATGTCGTACATTACGTAGACGAAGAAAGTCGCATTTGCTTGCGTAGCCGGAGGGGTAAACTTTGGTGATTAATAACGGAAATTATACTTCTTAGCTGAGTTTCACAATTTTTAGGCACAATCTATGTGTACTTAGCAGTACGAAAGAAATATTGTTATTGTTTATTATGTTTAAAAAAATTTAAAAAAAAAACATCAATTTCGGCTGTTTGACTGTTTTCCCCCAACTTTGCCGGCCTGTATCTTAGAAAATACTGTAGTCAGAAGAGTCATATTTTAATTCAATACGCTACGTATAAATGGAAGTAGATTAACTGAAATATAAATCTGTATATATGCGTGGGTTGGGGAGATTTTGGCAAGCAAACACGAGAAAAGCACCAAAATAAAAATATTTTAAGTGCGACTTTAAAAAAAACAAAAAAACGCTCTTTATTTTTTTTTTAAACTCTACCCAGTCATTCAACTCTATCTAGCGGTTAATATCCATTAAAAACATGTTGCATCCTACTGATGGTGCAATGGATACAGCTCCTCTACCGAGCCCCTTATCGGATATATATATATATATATATATATATATATATATATATATATATATATATATATATATATATATATATATATATATATATATATATGAAAACGTGGCATCGAGGTCGTCGGAGCAAAAGTGCTCGACATGCACCGAGTGGGCGCACAACATTCGCCGCGCCTTTGCGACCACAGCCTCTCCCCGGGAACGCTGTCAATTGCTGACCATCCTGCCATCAACCTTGACAAGAAATGAAGTCCAGAAAATCATTCCAGAGGCATCGATCTACATCATTAATAGGTCCCGGAAGCTGAGGGAGGACCACGGCCTGTGGTATGTGCCCGATCCCTATACAAGGTGTAAAGTGAGCCCTGAAAACATATCTGCAGCGGTTGAGTACTACATGAAAGACGAGTTATAGTGTTCTAGGCAGAGTCCCAATCAGAAGGACGTCATTTCCGTTGTGCTCGATGGCCAGAAAACGCTCAGGCCGAAACGTTTTATGACACGGTCAATCAGAGAAGCGTTTCGTGTATATAGAAGTGACCATCCCGACCCCGGCATCGGATTGACGAAGTTTTACTCCCTGCGACCCCGATGGGTTAAATGCAATCCCCAGCAAGAAGCGTGCGTTTGTGTGTACTGCGCAAACTATAACCTCTGTGTCGCCTCTCTACAAAACGCTGCTGGCTCACAACTTGATGCAGCGGAATTGAACTCGGCATTCATTTGCAACCCGCCATCGCGCCAGTGCCTTTTAGGCGAATGTGACGCCAGTCTCTTACACTTTAAAAACTCAACATCTCCGAGGATGAGTCAGGCGAGCTCGTGAAAAAGACTTTAGATCCGGTCACTTTTCTGGAAGAGCTTCGTGTGTCAGTCTCAAGGTGGATCATTCACAACCGTATCAGACAGACGCAAGGCAAAGCCATCTATGAAGAAAAGCAGTGCGCGCAGCGTGGTAGCATTGTCTTCCACTTCGACTTTGCTGAAAACTGGACTGTTATCCTTCTTGACGAGATTCAAGCGTACCACTGAAAAAAAACAAACAGGTCTCAATATTTACTTGTGTGGTGACGACTAGAAAGTCGACATACACTTTTGTCATCATCAGTGACGACTTGCATCATGACTCCGCTCATGCCTGTCTGGCTGTACAAAAAGTGAGAAAGTGGCTCGATGACAACCTTGCTGTGTACTCTCATTTGACTTATGTAAGTGACGGTGCCGCCAGTGACTTCAGGAATCGCTTCCAACTTCATGAATTCCAAAAAAAAAAAATATATTTTTCCCAAGGCCCGATGGCCACTGGGCACGGAAAAAACGCGTGTTACGGAGTTGGAGGACTCGTCAAACACCAAGCAACGCTTCACAACTTGAGACAGCTCCCAGGAAAGGCCATGCAGTCTGCAAAATGCGTGGTGAACAGCCTTTCCCAAAAACTAAAAGGAGTGAGTGAATTTCACAATTCTTGACGAAGACGAGGTTGTTGATTCCCGTGAACGCAAAAATGAAGGGTGGGTGGGAGTGCGCGCCTTTCCTGGTATTTAGTCGGGGCATGTGTGGCTATGAAAAACATCAGAAGCTTCGACCTGTGACTTGGACGTGGCACGGACTGTCGGGTCCCCTTGGAAGAAACTATAAGTGCACACCGTCAGAAAATGTTTGTGTCAAAATCTGTCAATCTTGAAACCTATGAAGGCAGAACTGTGTTGTATATGATGTGTTATTTAATATATTTAATGCTCAATTTATTATAACGCGCCAAAGATGTGACAAACTATTACTTGCAATACTCGAATGAATAAAAAAATACTTTTCTCTCAAAGTAAGGAGTCGCAATAACTGCGTCGCACCACAGTACACCGTGCCGAGCTTCGCGGAAGGGGCTCGGTAGAGGTGCTGTATCTATTACACCATCAATATAATGCAACATGTTTTTAATTGATATTAACCCCCAAATAAAGGAGAATGTCTGGTCAGAGTTTAAAAAAAATCGAGAACGGGATTTTTTTTTTTAAATCGCCCTTAAAATATTTTTATTTTGGTGCTTGCCTCGTGTTTGCTTGCCAAGATCTCCCCAACCCGCGCTTAAATAAATTTGAATTTTAGTAAATGTACTTACATTTATAAGTAGTGAATTTACTTAAAATATCACGTTTCTGACTAAATTATTTCCTAAGATACAGGCCTGCAAAGTTGAGGGAAAAACGGCCAAAGAGCCAAAATTGATATTTTTTATTCATTTTTTAAAACATACTAAAGAATAACAATATTTTTTTTTCGCCATGCTAAGTACATATAGATTGTACTAAAATATTATGAAACTCACCTAAGAAGTATAACTTCAGTTATTAATCACCAAAGTTGCACCCTTTGGCTATGCAAGCAAATGCGACATTCCACCTCTACGTGATGTAAGATTTTTTGCGTCCGACAATTTTTTTTCTTGGTGAAAATAATTCTGATTTTGTTTATTTTAGACATCGGGAAATAACATATAAAATTATGAAGCAAATTAAAAAGGTCGACCAGCCACCCCCTGTTCGATCTTATCTGAAATCACCCTGTAATTGCCTTTTACACCTGGTAACTGCTTTCAGCACACCTTTTGCAGTGTATGTTAGTTTTCAGAAAACAACAAAACCAGAGCAATTTGCGAGATATTGGGACCATGCATGCACTCCACAATAAAAGCATGACAGACATTTAAATTACACATCCTTTATTGAAAAAGATGTATAAAAAAGGGGGCCTCTTTCAGGTGAAGTGACAGAAGTTTTTCAACTCCCAGTTCTGCAGCAGTATGATGCACAAGCATTGGCAATCCTAATTTGCACAACAAAAAAAAGGGAAAAAAAAAAAGAAAAAAAAAAAATGGAAACCATGCATAGCACTACAAAATGTACATTCGCCGACTCGGTACAAAACATTCGCGAGACAGTGGCTCCGGGCATCAATGTGCGTCCAATGAGCCCCAGAGTCAGTCCTAGTCAATCACCATCACTCCTCAGATTTTCGCGCTTTCCACAGCATGAACGTCTGCAATGGTGTCACTTTATATCCGAACATATGGCAACCCCTTTGACTGCATTCGCGTCTCAGATAAAAGTTTATTGCTCACCTAGATTCATGAGATACTTCCCGAGAGGCTAAGAAATAACTTTTCGTTTCGTCCCGACAGTCGAAAATAAAAGGAGGCAACGCAGCGGATGAGACGACACACCAAGCGCACAAGGCAGCTGTAACAACGCAAGCTCCGTATGGCCACGGGAGATGAAACGGCCAAATAAAAAAGAAAAACGATTGGCAAAGAGCTTCCAAACAAATGGCACCTCTAGAAAGGGGAGCGGCTTCTTAAATAATGTGACGCACATATATTACAAAAAAACAACACATTCTATACACAATGGCCCGTGTAAAAAGTAGCACCCGACTGCCTCTCCGTCAAAGGAACTCAACCGCCCCCTCCGCGAGTCTGGCTGCAGTCAGACTTTGATATGCACCTCGCGACTCTTCTCGAGACTTCCCTCCGAGCAAATCGAAAAGCGATTTGGGGGGACGACTCCCGCCGACCCGTACTTCGACCCGCTTCCCGCGACGTGCACTCTTTAAGCTGCGGATCACACCGCTAATACGTGGTGCAAAAAGCGGTCCGCAGACGCCGACTGAGGCGCGTTTCTTTCACCTACGATGCTCCCGTCACATTGGTCGTCCAAAAACTGTCTTCAGACACATTCGAAGCATACATATGTACGAAGCAAACATACTTCGAACGAGTCTGTCGTCGCGTCTGCAACAAACGCCGTGTCTTTTGCACGACGTACGAGCGGCGAGACTCCGGCTTCGCAGGGCGCCAGGGGGACCTCGGAACACGGACGACGAAAAAAATGCGCCTCTCCTCTACGTGCAAGCTTACACGCACACACATACACACGCACAGTCAAAGCCGAGTCCTTTGGTTTGAGCGCACACTTTCACGGGGTACGGGGGATTGCGTGCACACGACAAGAAAGCACGCGGTGGTGGCTGCTGCTTGTTGGGGGGATTGGGCGTCTCGTCTCTTGGCCGGAACGAGCGCCCATAGTGGACCGTTTGGTCGGACGACCGCCCCGTCCGTCCGTACTCTCGGGGTCGCGGAGGATGTCGCGGCATCGTTTCGCGGGACGACCCGTGTACGACAGGGCTTCCGGGGGCTGCGGCGGCGGTGCGGATGGAGAAGGTTCCTAAGACTCGTCGTCGTCCGGGTTCTCGGAGTCGATGAATTCGACGTGGGTGAAAGGGAAATGTCCTACGCGGCCCTTCAGCTCCCCTTCCCACTGGCCGTTGATGTTGGTCTTGGTGACCGTGATGATGTCTCCGACCTGCAACGGAGGATACGGGAACGAGGCTTGAAGCACGTCCAGACGGCGTCGCAAAAAGGCAAACTGAGACGGGCCCAAAACCAAAGCGAGTGCACAAGTGAGCTGTTTAAGACTGACAAAGCAAGGGCTTGTTCGCACACCCAACTGCGTTTGCTTACGATGGAGTCCTTGCGATTTCTTACGACGAAAGAACACACTGGGTCGCTGGCGCCATCTACGAGGTCACCCTGAAGTAAAGGTTTTGCAGTGTTTGCGAAAATAAACGAACTTCCTATCTGGGGTTCTGTGTTGTTGGTAAATACCAATAAACCCCAAAAATTACACACCCCGATAAGGTTTGATCAAAATCTGGGGCCACCGAAAAATCCCTGATTGAAGTTCTCCTTGGATGAGAAACAGTCAAACTTTTTGGGAAGAAAACCTTTATCAGTAGCTTTGTTTTGTGTTCACCCAAAACAGAGCCTTCACTGAAATCTCCACAAGGTCACTTATTTTGCCAGAACATTCTCTTATCGATACTGGAATGTTTTCCCAGTATTTGGTTTACATGCATGTCCTCTGGGGCGAGTTTCTTGGGGATACCATTACCACGTCCTACATAAACATGAGCCTCGATAAATGCCTATCTTTTGTCCAACATGGAAAATCGATGCAAAAGAAGACAGAATTCGTGGGGGAAAAAAAGGCCTTAAAAACATTACCCCAAATTCAAAAAAAAAAAAAAAAAAAAAAAAACTCGAAAACACGGAACTCTAGTAATAATGCGCTTCCTTTATGACGTCCAAACAAAAAGTAATGACTGTTTTTTTGTTTTTTTTCCCATTAAGAATTGGGTGACATTATAGGCTCTTATTGTTTTTCTCTTTCGAAGTAGCATCCTTTGCACTACACATATTGATTAGAATGTTGAAAAAACAATGCCAAAGAAATGTACAAGGACACAACTTTTAGCATTAAAGCCACGACTTTGTTTGCTTCACTGTATAAAAAAAATCTTCCTTCGTTGCAGGTTTCTTTTTTCTTTTCCAGTGTTGAGAACGTTTTGGAGCCGCACGGAAAAGTATTACTGTGCAGTTATTACTTTAAAAAAATTCAACGTCTGCCATATTCTCACAAGCACGTGTTCTTCGCCTGCCATGATGGCACAAACGAATCAGCCCTTATATTTGGGACGCCGGTACCGACGTATTAATATCCGCAGTTTCACCGCGAATGCCTCACCTCCAACTTGAGGGCCGTCTTGTCGTAGGCATTGGGAACGCGCGCCTGCTTCACTCGTGCCCGTGCCGGCAGCTTCCTCTGCGGACGAGGGGAAGGAAAGAGAGTCAAAAACACTTTCCATTCACCACCGACATCTCTCATTTATTTACTGATTTATTGCGGAGACCCCCTACTATCGAGGAGGCAAACAAAGAATTTGACGCCGCGAAACAACGGACAAAACAAGAAGCGAAGGCAGAGGGGCAAAATATAATGAAAAACAGTGCAAAACCAGAGATTGCGCGACAGAGCGAATTCATCCCCACTGCTAAGAGTTTTGGCAAGTGTGATGAAAAAACCATGAGTAAATATATTTTCCAGCCAAGGACCGCGGACCATTCGTTGCAGTGCCAAACAAAGTCAGGAAAAAAAAAAAAGAGCACTGAATTTTAAAGGTTTAATATTCGTGCAGTGATCACACCTGCAACAAATGAAGTGAGTCGGGAGTAGACATTTCGCGACATTCATAAAAAATGCTACAAACAAGTTTCAGGTGTCCGTGTCTTATTCCTGCTTACTGCTAACAGATCATCGACACAACTAAACCCCATGTGCTATGCATCTCCGAATCTCCAGATGCTAAAATTATCTTAATCGATTGTTTTTTCCACAGACCGTCATAGATTGACATAGCCTTTCCTCAGATACAGCAGTGATAGGTGACACTGCCTCGTTTCAAAATGCTCAGATTTCTCATTTTTGTTAATAAATTATGTAACAGTCCTGTGTTTACATTATTGTTTTTTGCATTGTTTGTACTTTCCTGTTCAGCACAATCTTTTAATGCCTCTCAAGGCTGAGAACCACCTGGTTGTTTATGTTGTTCATACAGAAGGCTTGTGGTAATTCAAACTCGGATAGTCCATACTCCCGGTTAATTCAAGACAAATTTCAAAACTTTGGTTCTTCCACTATGTTTTTAATGTCTTTATAAGCCGCTTAATTCGCACGGTGTTTTCGTGTAATTCATACTCTTTTGTTCTCGCAGCCCCCATTGAATGCACTTTTTTCCGAGCACCGGTGCGCTGCAGAGGGGCAACACTCGCAAAGTTTGCTTCCACGGGTGTTGCTTCTCTCCAGTGAACCGGTGCTCGGTAAAAAGCCTGAATGTCGCAGAACTAACGTTCAGGTAGCCAAGATGAAACCAAATGAAAAAAAGGTGACAACTTTATGCCTTCAATATTTGCACTTGATGCTTCTAAGCCTGGAAAAATTGTAAGCACTGTACGTTGCTCCCGCTAGATAAATAATGGAAAACCTGTCCAGTGACCCTTTCTTTACACTATTCTTTTGGGAACAGATCCCGACCACAAGAAAACATCTTTTGAAAAAAGAGCTCGACCATCAAAGGATTAAGGGTATAAATGATTGATCAAACAAATCTTTTAGTCAACAAAAACAATGTCGCCTTCGAGGTATTTCCTTTCCCCGCTCTCGAGGTCCACGTTCGTAAAGAACCGGCGGATTTCTGAAAGCCGTACAAAAGTGAGACAGCCATTGCTTAGAGTAGCAGACGACTCTGGCATTTGGTGCCCGAACAAATGCGACCCCGACACCACCTCTGCGTGAGGAGCAGACGATGCTCTTACGCACTTTGACTGGAGGGAGACGGTAGGCATTGGGGAAGAGATCCAGCGACTGCAACCCGAGCGGCTAACTTTAGAACTACACCCATGGGACTCGATGACGAGGCAGCACTCGGCTGCCGTAGCCGAACACTGTGTCACCGTTCAACTAGGGCTCAGTTTCTCCCGCTGTCCAAGGAGAAGCTTCTTTGCAGCCACGCGGGCTAGCATGCGTAGTGCACACGTCCGGCACCTGCTCGGCACAAAGGACGAGGTGGGTCAAGCTCGCATCCTCCGACGACTGCTTTCAAGAAAGATCCGGCTTGTCACGGCCCACCAATGTCACTCCGTTTATTGCCGACACTTTTTACATTACAGCGTGCTCCAACCAGGAAGGTTATGCCAAGAACAGAGTACACAAACTTTGTGTTGGGTAAACACCGAGCTCGGGGAAAAACGAGCTGGACAGAACGCCCCAATAGCTCGATCTCCTTGCCAATGGACGAAAGCGACTAGCCCTTGCATTGCCCCACTATGCCTCCAATGAGAGCTCGGTGCTTCGACGCAGGCGCACCCTCCACGCAAAGGGCGGACAAACTTGCACACCGTACGGTGGCAGCATCTCGCTAGTGCCGACTTAGCCCGCGAAGTCGAGGACCTGTTGCCCGCCCGAGACGGACGTTGCTGCAATGTCCTCACCTGGACGTTGGAAGGGGTGTTGTACTTGATGGGGTCCCCGCCGGGGGTTGACCTGGGGTTCTGGGCGGGGGGCGCCGCCGCCAGCTGCGGGGTCGAGGACGGCCGGTTCCAGCCCTGGCCGTCGTTGAGCGCCTGGCAATCCTCCAACTGCAAGCGCGGGCAGACGGCACACTGAGGCTCCGGTTCACGAAGCCGACACGCTTGAGCACCCCGTGAAAAGTTAATTTATTTATTTGAAGGAATGCCGAGCTCCCATAAAACACTTTTAATGTGTGAAATGGCTTTTGATGCTAGTTCTCAATCCCAAACTTTTGTCAGTTTGTCCGTGCATTTCTCACTTAATTTAGTGGGGAGACTGAATTGGTTATAGGTCAGATGATGTCAATTGATGTCATATGACCGGACATCACACGACCTATACACCAATTCGCTATCCCACAGAAAATTTAAAGTCGCACAGCTCGATGACAGCACCTGCACACAAATTTTGCCCTGCCCCCCCCCCCCCTCTACATTTAGCAGGAAAATTTCTGTCATGTCATCCAATGTCAGGTGTCCTAAGCAGCATTTCAGTTTCCCTGCTAAATTTCGGGGGGAGGGGATCGATCTCACACGACCCAATAGCCTTCAGTTTCCGTGCTAAACTCAGCAGGAAAATTGACGTCACGTGACCTGACCACATATGACATATACATCAATTCAATTTCCCCACTAAAACTGGCAGGAAAATTGATGTCACGTGTCCTATGAACCCAGTTTCCCCACTCAATGTAGAGGGGAAATCAATTCTTTTTCACTCCCCAAAACAAAGGTTAAATGTCTCCTAAACAATTCTAAACTATCGCGTCAAAAATACAGCATTTCATGCATTATAAGACTTCAAAGATAAAGATCACTGCCATGTTTTTTTAATATCTGGATAGGATACACACGTCACAAAATGAAGTTTACCCCAAAAAAGGTTTTTAGCGCAATATTGACGTAGCAAGACATACCTGGGAGTCTGGAATGATCCTGATGTTTTGGCATGCCGACCCGATATAGAAGTGCATTTCTGGATCACCCCCAGAGACGCTTAACTCCCCGAAAACTATTTTTTGAAGTACCCGGATTGCATATTCATGTCCCAAAACAAATTTTCCACGTAAAAATATTTTCACAACACCACCTTTGTAGCAAGACTCATTTTGAGTGAGGAGCAATTCTGTAATGTGCTTCTATTTCGGCACGTCGTCCCGAAATGCCTTTTCACAATGAAGTGAATATTGCGACGAAACGTGGCTTTTGCGGGGAAGCATAAATTTTACATTAATGGGCCACTAAACCACTTTCTGCGAGCCTATTTATGGTCATGCCTCAACCTATGGGCTCTAAGCACCCTAAAAAAACATTACAATCATATGTGGCTCATTTCTCTATTAAAATTGGTATCAAAGATGGATTACCTCGCAACTGTTGCCAACACTGCAGGGTGCTGTCGAACGAAGAGATGCTCCGAAGGAGCCCTTCTCAACGTTCGATGGCGCCCTCTGGTGTCAGTAATAGTTCCGAGGCGATCTATCTTTGATGCCGATTTTATAGAAAAATCAGCCTCATATGAATGTAAAGTTTGTTTTTGTAGGATGCTTAGAGCCCATAAATTGAATATGACCATAAATAGACCATTGCAGAAAGTGATTTAGTGCCCCTTTAAAAATCTACCCAAACAATAAAAAAAAAATAAAAACATTTAAAGGGAGTTTAGATTTGTTCGAATTTTTTTAGGGATTGGTTTGCCTATAAAGTGTTTCCTTCGACATAGGGCAGGAGCTCACCCTTTCCACATAGGGCACGGGGATCGAGCCCGTCTGGCCGAGGCTGTTGCGTGCCGTCCACCACTGCTCCTCGTCTTTGGAGATCACCGTCAGCACCTCTCCTTTCCGGAACGGCAGGTCGTCCGGGTCGCCCTGAGATGGACACACCCTCACTAAGCACCCCCCAATTTGTGCACGTGAAAATACTCCAGTCGAAGGATTGCCCTGTGTAGACTCTGGTCCCTATCCAGAAAACTACAGTCACTTACAGGGGGTGCTCAAGTGTTTTATGTAGAAGCTTGTTTTTGATGGCATATTGTTTGCTGGGCTTCAGACAATAAAAATGACCAGTTCTAGCAGCAAGACATTCTAGTAAGCAACAGAAATACATGAGCGCTATTTACTCTTGTGGGAGGGGGGGGGGGCCTTGGGCCCTCACCACTTCTATACCAGTGGAAGTACAGTCAAACAAACGCCTGTGTAACAAAGCGTGTGGGATCGCGATAATTCTTCGTTATTCACGTTACTTTGTTATATCTGTCACGCACTTTAATAACCCCAATAAAGCAGATAAGCAACGAAATAGCCTGTTGTACAGGCTATTTCGTAGTAGAAGAGTTCATTGTAGCGGCGTTTGACTGTAGTTAATTGCGTGGAGATTCTGAATGTCACTATTAACTATTACTGCTCTTTCTATGTGTGTCGTGCATTATATTTTGACAAAAATGTCATATCTTTGGGTGTAGAAGATGTAATACAGCAATTATTACTTGGAAACGCCGTCTGATGGCATTCCCTGGTGTCTGCTGAAAGGTGCACGAAGAGGGGGGTGTCACTATCTTTGCTTGGATTTTTAATAGGGAAATCGGCTGCACAACATAATGCAACATTGGCGTTTCTAAATGTTTATGTTTATACAGCCTCCAAGTTAGGTAGTCTGCCTCCAACGGGCGACTTACCTTTTAGCTGTAGATGAGCAATTTAGCTAGTGCAGTTCAACTGCTAGCCTGGGGTCTTTAACAGGCGCCACGCAGTAGTGATACATGACCGCACGCTGGTACAATGCTCATCCAGATCGAAACGGGCAGGGGTGGGGATTGAACTTGAAGTTTCTAAGATGCTTAGAGCCCGTAGACTGAGTTATGAAAATAAATTGACGATATCAGAATCCACTTGAGTGCCCCTTTAAGAAACACATGAGAATGTCCAAGGAAATATCACGAAGCAATGCCCTGCATTTCTTTACACTGTCAATGAATAAAGTGATGGACTGAAAGCATCCTTGGATGTTAGGGAAATAAAGGTGGAAGACTGAAATTGGGCACTGCACTGTAAACTAAAACCATGAAAAACAAAAAGAGCTAAGGACTTCTGTTGCTGTTAATAAAACATGTCATGGCTCTCCAGATTATGGTAACGAAGATGTATGTTTTATTATAAAATGAATGACCACGGGAAACTTGGCTATTTTACTTGCACAACGATCGGACAACGAAAACCGGGAAGAGAAACTAGTTTGTCGAGAAAAGTGTCTTTTAACCATTAAATTACTTTTACGGGAGCAATTACATATTTATTGTCTCAAAAATAATGCCTAAACAGGAAGACCAAGCTGTTTTTTTCTCATCGTTGCAACATGGAAAGAGTCGACTCAATTGGTTGTTGTGGCAAGTTCGCTGCTATGCGGAGCGCAAGTTCGTCTGCTTCTTTTGCAGGGGTTGTGGTGACATCCGAACGCCGAGCTCCAATCGGCTCTGAATGAAGGATAGTGGGTGGACCTCAAGGCAGCTTGTTTCGAGGTCCACCCACTATCCCTCAATCAGAGTCAATTGGAGATCGGCGTCATTCTGACGTCACCCCAAATCCTGCAAAAGTAGCAGACGACTTGATCTCTGCATGTGAAGTGGGCTGCTTGACTTGTACATCCCCTACTTCAAACAAGGCACACTTCAAGGCTAAGAGGTTGTAGGTCCTAACCACACCGTTGGATCCAACGCACTCGAAAATGCTGCTGTGTTCCTTGGATCGGCGACGTTATCCGCCCAACGCGTGGCATACCTTTGCACGCACTCGCAGACTTGGCTCTTTCGGCGTCTCGCATTTCAACTTCCACGTTTACCTTCCAGGTTTCGAGCATGCAGTTTTGAGACGACGACGTCTAAGGGAGACGTCGTCGTCTTATGCGGTTTTGAGCATGCGGTTTTGAGACGACGACGTCTATGGACGACGACGCTTGCTCTGTTGGAGTTTTTGACACTGATCGCAGCAGCAATGAGAGTGATTCTTATCAAAGGTGTTGGAAACTAGTCATTTTGACATCGACCCGCCCTCGACCAGCTCCAGCAACGACGACTACAATCGGTGAAAGGTTAAGGATTCAGGGGAAGCTCCTTCTTCCTCTTTTCACTTTAGCAGAGCGAACGCTGAAGAGGAAGTTGCCTCCTCTCCGGACTCTGCTAAAGTAGAAAAAGTAGAAAGGGCTCAATATGTGTGTTAGCTGCTTCTGCCCAAACAGCTGCATAGGAACAACTCAACTTACAACATCAGAGGTGATCATTCCAGGGATAGCACCGTTTATTCTTACAATGTTGGAGAGACCAAAAAGGAACATGGCACTAATGTTTGTGCCAGAGTGGTTAGCAACATAGTAACCAATGAGGATTTGAGTAATAAGTATTGAGAGTATTCACTCGATGACACTATCGAGTGCAGTCCAGAAGTTGTGGTGTCGATGTGCACACGCAAGCCTGCAAAGGCCCGTTTTCGCCTGCTGTCCTTACCCACCCGGTGCATGGTGTTTTCACCGAGTTTTAGTATTTGTGTTCATGCGCATACTACTCATAGTTACCATGCTTGTCTGAATGTCCGTATGCTTGACTAACTCAGCGTGTGTGTAGACAGCTTTCCAAAGACACATTATCTCAGGAAGTTGAAAGCATAACAGGCTGAACGCACTCTTACGGAATGCCTTCAAACTGAGCCTGAAGCTCCATGGTCTGCAAAGGCAGAGTCAAATAGAATTAAGAATGACCCCATGCATGACAGTTTCAACTGTATGCTAGCAGTACCTATAGTTGTTTCAGTTTGCGATTTCAAAGTCAAAATAAATGCCAGGTATCAATGCAGTGAATATGCCTTGTATATAATATCTTGTATAACATCATCTATAAGATGTTTTAGTACATATATGATAGCATCCTTGTATATAATATCATCACATTATCACCATCACCTGACACGGCACTGCGGACCTAAGTGGTGCGAGCTGCTGCCTATTTGCGGTGCCGCCACTCTCCAGAGCAAGTAAAGATTCTTATTATCATAACTATGTCCTTCCATCGCATATCTTGCAGTGAACCTGGTTTTGAAAACTTGATTCAAGTGTTGCTGTTGAGCATCCTGGGATTTTTGTTTTCTGACACAAAAATGGTGCAGCAGCAGTTTCTTTCTCTACAATATAATCCAGTTGTAACAGAATGAGAATTTCTGATTGATTTAGTCCATCACTGAAACTTCTATCTCGGAGAGATTGCTGTTTTGAATACTGCCATAGAAAAGAGAAACACAACTCACGCTGCCTTCAAAGTCATACTTGGCTTTCACTTTTTCAACTTTCTTAGCAGCCTGAAAACAGAAAAAAAATGCATTATCAGCAGTGTTCACCATGACTCAGCAAGCGGCACCCAACCGACACTTTTGTGTTGGTTGGGTGCCGCATGTAAGGACAGCCGAGTCGCTAAAAGGACAGCCGAGTCGGCTGTCCTTTTATGCACAATGCTAAAAATTAACCCAAGTTGAATGATAGCTAAAAACAAATCCAAAGGCTTTATTGACTCCATGCCTCATTCACTGTTAATGGTGCGTGCACTGGTTCAAGATACTACTATTGGATCAATGTTCAAATGATGAACAGGATTTAAATGTTTCTGCAACTAGTAAAAACCACTCTACGTTCAGATGTTTGCCTCCAAGCTGTACCGTTAAAAAAGACACGTCATTCATTAAAATGAAGGCAACAAAACATAGCTGCACCTTCTGCAAGGCCAAAGATCTTTGGACTCCTCCCCTAAATTGCAAAAGTAGTCCTGGGTTCGATTTTGGTCAAGGTGAGAGTGTTTTCGGCTGCTGATTGGAAAGTAGCGTCACAGCTTGCACGTAATCGACCAATGAGACATTTTTGACCCGTCAGTGAGCTCAAAATCGAGCAATATTTTGGTGAGAATGCCTCACCAACAACAAATAGTGAGACGGGTCTCGCGGTATCTCATGTGCTTGTCCTTAGCGCTCCTTCATCCCCCAGTTGATGTCAGCTTGTATACGGCAACAGAACAACTTGAGATTTGCAAACGAAGCACGAGGTGTCAATGGCTTCCAAAGTGAGACAGCAGACGATCACAATTTCGACCCGCGTCCGATCTTACTTCGACGCGATGCACGGTTCGCAGCAGACGATCAACTTTTTTTTCTCGGTTTGTTAGCAGACAATGTTCGGTGTTTCTCGTATTATCTCCGTCCGCGAATGGTGCTTCACAGCAGACGAACCCTGGCCTTTGCCCACATTAATAGACACTTTGCCCGCATTAATAGACAAACTGCCTACGAATACCATCTCAGATCGCTGTGCGAAAGGCAAATCAGATCTCGTTCTTGACTTTGAGGTGACCAAAATCAGACTCCAGAGAAGGATAGAGAATCCAAAGGGAGAAAAAAGACGGCTTCACCAACGTCGCCTGGACACCAAGGTTGTCATAATAAACTTTCTATGTCGCCCACAGGAGGCCAGCGTGGGGCACAGATAGGGCACAAGTGCTGCGTCAAAGTTTGGTCGGGGCCTGTGCCCTCACAGACTGAACACAGGTTCCAACCGAACCCTGACACAGTACTCGAGTCCAACGTGCGCCCCCCGGCAGGTGCCGGTAGATGTAGGAAATCCGGCACATGGCAGCCTCGGCATCCGACAGCCGTTAGCTTCGCACATACTTTCTCGAGGAGCGGAAGAGGGTACGAGTCGAAGAGCGGAAGAGGGTATGAGTCGAAGAGAGGGCGAAGCATGCAGGCCCAAGACGAACGTGAAGGAGCGGGGGAGGGAAGGTACCGGCTTGACGAGGGGCGTCGTGTCGAGGTAGTGGAGCTTGTAGAAGTTGAGCAGGGACGGGATGTCCGGGAACATCTGGTCCCCGATGCGGAAGCGCGTCTGTTCGTCCTGGCTCACCCGGTTGATGATGTAGTGGCTCACCTTGTTCTCCTCCCTGCACACACAAAGGCCATGAGAGAGCAGTGAGCTAATCCTGGGCTACCGAGTGACCCAGAAACAAACTCCGGTAGAAGAAACAGACGGCAAGACAAAAGACTGCAGCAGCTGAAGAAACAAGGTGCTCAACTTATCTTAAACCAACAGATAAGGTTGCCATATACAAAATGTGTTTCCAAGGACTTTATCAACATTTGTTATTGACATTAAATTCTTTTTCTGCATTTATAGCGTGTTATTTTATTCCAAACTCTGTACATTTGTATGTGATGATGGGCATGCTTTGGATTTTTTGTTTCTTGCCACGAAGTGTTGAACGAAAATGCCGAACTCCGCCGCTCTCGTTTGTACGGTTAGTAGATGTCACCGCAGCAGAGACGGAGCAGCTAGCTTTGCGTCTACCCAGTAATTAGGGCGGCGGTATGATCTTGAGCTTGCAATCGTGGAGTCATGGGATCGATTCCCCTTGGGGCAAGTTTTAAAATTTAGCTCCTTCGTCTCAAATCTACCACTATTTTTACGGGTCATCCTCCGAAGCATATGTCATACATTTCGTTAACGGTTCCCGTGGTGACCTGTTCCACTTTCCTCAGGGATCCCATACCATGAACTTGTTTTGTGCTAAAGACGAAGCTGCGCTTCTGCTGTGCTTTGCCGTGGACTACTTCAAAATGCAATGGCATTGCCCATCTTCCACGAAGGCTATGTTCTTGCGTCTCATTGACACGTTGAGTACGATCATACTCGGCGCATTATTGTTTCTGTTCAGATGTTTCCTCTTCAGTCCGTTCCTTCCTCTTGTGAGGCATTGAAAAGACTACGGCACGTGTAGCGAGTGCTTCACTCCGCAATTCGCATGAGCACGCGATAAGAGGAGAAGAACACCACATGCATCTCACTCTCCCATGCATGTGCATGCATTTAATACGTGATGGCCGAGCTTTGTTTGTGAGGGGGAGATGCTACCATATTTAAAACAAGACAAGACTCGCATGAAGCTGTCACAAACTTATCTCGCCCTGGGGCTTTCCAAGATTTCGAGGTCTAGGTCGTGCGAGCTTCTTTGCGTTACTCAAATTTTCAGAATGACGAACCTCCTAAAAACTGACTGTGGGCGGCTCCCAGTGTAACTTGTGGGCCGAGCTTTCAAAGCCTGCTAGATTTGCTGTGCCACAATCCTTATATTATACGCTAGCTGGCAAGTGAATTGCCATACCAGATTACAAACGACACTCATGGGGTGGATGATATCGAGAAAAAGAAGAAACTATGTCAGCACGACTGATAAGCTCCCAATTGTTATGCTGTTTTGGGCTGCTAAGACAGCGAGGAGCCTGAAGCTTCTAATATTAAGAATTTGTGCATAAAGCAGCCTCAGTATCTGTCCAGAATAAACATGCAAGCACTTTTCCCAATGTGCACTGTGACCAGACGTCCTGTTTTGGTCGGGATAGTCCGTTTTAGAGGTTAATTTGTACCATCCCATCATTTCGTACAAATATAGCTAATGCCCCGCATTTGTGGAAACTTTCTTGCGAAATCAGTATCAGGCGAGTGGAAGATAACAAAACAGTAAAAAAAAAAATGTTATCTCGAATAGCATATGACTTTAAGCTTTTCCTGCAACTCCATTAGCCGATAAGTTTTGTTTGCACAGATGAGTTTACGGGGCACTTTTCTATATTACTATACTTGACATGCTTAGGTCCTGCAGAATTGGTAAGAAAAGTGCTTGTGTACTTAACTACTCAATGAAAAGCCCCAGAAAAGTGTGCATTTTCACGGTGAACTGAATAGTAGCGGAGCTCTTTTCTTTCTGTTCGCTTTGTGCCGCCCGACTGCCTGCCTGCCCCCCCCCCCCCCCTCTTCCCCTACACCATTTCCCTTGATGTCCCAGTTGCAACTCTGAGTAGTATGGCCACCCTACAAATGCGTCTTTGATGATGGGTTGAATAGACTGCTCAAGTACACCTTGAAAAAGGACGAAAGCTGTGGCTTATGCGAAACAATCGCAGCTTTACAGCAAGCGAAGCATGTGACAACATACCAATGGTGAGCCCGTTTCCTGGGGACAGCCATCATACACTTCGTTACTCTGATTGGATCAAGGCGGAAACAAGTTTTTCTTTTTTGTCAAGTTGTGAAAGAATGAAGTAGAGTTGGGCATTGTGGCTCTGATATTCATAAAAAATTTAGACTTATTACAGTGATCACAGCAATGCCTACTAAACACAGACTGAAGGGGTGCCTGAGAGGCCACAATGACCTATGAATGCTTGAGAATGAATAAATGTAAGGTAAAACATAATGACGGATGGATGGATGTTAATGGCTATACTCTTTGTAAAAGGGCGGTAGCTTGCGCCACCTTGCCCAAGTCTATAAAGATGAACACATGATTCCTCCCGCCCTTCTAAGACCAATTTTCTTCAGTGTGGGATATCAGCAGGATGACCCCTGGGGGATTGGGCAAAAATACTAAAAACATCACCCCCCACCTCTTCCCCCCCGGCAAGGGCTTCGCCATTTTTTCTCTGGTTAAACCTTCTCTGTGTTATCCCAGCACCGGAATCACGGGAGACAGGTTGACACTTTTGGCTGGAGCCACGCGGAAGGGAGTCCCAATTTTCCTCTCTTCCGCTTGTCTCCAACTGTGCTAGTTAGTTGTGCATCATTAAATTTTCCCTAGATAATTTCGACCAATCTTCTAATCACCTCTTTGCGACCGTAATCCTTCTCTCTTCCGTCCTTCCATTGTTGCTAGCAAAAACCCAAGACCCTTGTCAAATCCGTTACCACTCCAGGGAGGGCAGGGTGAAGCCCCATGCATTTCAAAACCAAGTGCTCTAGTCTCACACTCATTGGCAGGCGGCACATAATGTGTCTGTCCCCTGAAATTCAGCCCTATATGCCCTCGCCCTCAAAACTCCCGTTCTCGCTTCAAACAGTAAAGAACTGTCCAGCGAATTGTTAAACACATTTTTCTTTATGCCCTGTTTTGTCATGTTTTTTTTGTTTTTTTTTTTAAATTTACCAGAGACCTAGTGTTTGTGTTGCCCTTTCAAAAACCTCCGTCTGGGGTAAATTTGCAATGTTTAACCTGCTAACAAGCATCCTCATGTTTTGTACCTAAATGTGAGGCGTAACTGTTTATTCTGATGCCTACATGAACCAAAACCAACTTTCAGTCTCACATAGACTCAGTTTTATGATCACTGCAACTAAATTTATGGTGAAAGTCCAAACGTTTTGCAACAAATAAGTGATAAAGGATGCACTTTAAGCAATTAATGTTCATGTTTGGTTATTTGCGGCGCAATTACACAGTAGGAAGTGACTCCCGGGGGGGTTTGCCGAAACCCCCGAGTCTCCGAAAGAGGAGTGGGAAAGAGACACGCTTCTCAAGGTGGTTACTGACCTGACGCAAAGCACAAGATCGCCGGAAATGGTGGCACTGTTGCGAACCAGGAAGATTCCCGCTTCATGCTCAGCCATGAGCATGTCTGTCGCCTCTTGCCGCGACATTGGCCCGAAGAACCAGCTGCAAATGAACGAACAGCCTTGTTTATTAAATAAGCCGTTGTGAGCCACATCAATCACAATTTTACAACTGCAAGACAGCCACGAAAAGTTACGGACCGCATTGTGCCTCACAGTCGCCGAAAAGATGGGAGCGGCACGGAGGTCTTTTAGTCATCCCGCCGCCGGTGCAAGCTTCCTGCTTTCGAAAAAGAAACTTTAGCAACCCGTAAACTTCGAGCGCACATGGGCAACCAAAGCATGGTAAAAGGCAAAGAGCACGTGCTGTAGGCCGGGCATCGCAAAGAGGCTCCGTGCTGTTCTCATTCTGCTCCGGTAGACTAAAATATGTAAGGCTGCAAAACAATGTGCTCTCTTCCTACACAAACACTCAACGTCATCCCATGGTGATGCCAAGTTCTAAAAGACCGTAACACTCACCCGCCGTTGGACTTCGGCCATTAAAAGGAATGCCTGCCAGCACATTTTGTTTAGCTAACCTTATGCTGTGTTTGCATATGCAAAAAAGAGCAGCACGAGTCTGCTCCAGAGGCTCCAGCACCCATAGCTTGTCTCATCCCTGTTCCAAAGAGTGTAGGCCCCGGTACCATCACCAGGGCTCGAGCTGTCCGATGGGGCTTAAATTCGGATGATGACAATGAAAATAAAGACAGCAAGGTCTTATCTGTTTGTTCACACCACTATGTTATTGCTAATGAACCTCCAAGAATTTAACATAAGAGAAGAATTCTCGGCCCTTATGGGTTGGTTGCTAGCATACTATACTTTCTACCTTTATGATATCACTCAAACTGCACAAGAGGAACAATTATTTCAATGTTATAGTCAACTTAATTGCTTGCACTGGACGCACATTCTGTCTGCACCTCCATGGTATTGAGGGCGCTGCTCTAAGCTTTGAGAAGCTATCAAAAGTTACCCAAGTTCTATGCATGCTGACCCAGCTAAACTTGCCTCTGAATATCTTGTACAGCCTGCAGCCAATGAAACAATGGCCAATTGATTGGGAGACTGGGAAACAATGAGTCAGCTTTTTGCATACAATTGCTTTCAAGAAGCTATCTGCTGACCACTTCACCTTTTAACAACAGATACATACCAAAGTCTAGTATTTGGAGAATTGACAAATGGCAAAGGTGTAGCCCAATTCATCGATCCTAACATTATGTAAAGTGGCTGAAGCACTGGACACCGCTAAATCTTATCCCCCAAAATAATGTTCCGTAACAGATCTTGACGCATTCTAGATATATATATATTATACACAATAAAAAAAATAAAAAATCCTTTTGCCAGATGGTGATCGACGGCCAAACCCAATTCAAGGCTAAGACACGAGCGCATGACAACAAAATTGGAGGACTGAATCGCGAAGCACGATATTCGTGCTCTCATGAATGTCACGAATGCTAGACCGGCTGAAAATTGCACGAATAAGGGATTGCTAGCTGCCGGAAAGCTTTATTTGGAGCTGGTAGGCCTAACGCTGGCGACTGCTGAAATCCGATCCCCAACGATCCGACAACCACGGCATTTTCACACGCGGCGTTCAGCTCCACTCTTCAGCAACCCGTTCGAGGACGCAGCCTCAGCAAATGTCACAGCGGACTGCTTCTCAGTTACGCCGAATCACTTTCGTCAACAACGCTAGAGCTCCAACGCAGCCGGCAATCGTGCAAAAACCATTGCAGCTCGAAAAGCACACCACTACTGACCTGTTTTTATCGTACGGGTCGAAATTTCCAGCCATTTTTCTCGGTCGTGGACGACACCGGTCGAAAGGTTCACTCACGCACACTGCACACTGAGTGAAAAGTTTTCGCTCCCGAGCTGAATCAAATATAAAAAAGAGCGATTCCGTGTAATCGATTTCAACGAATCACAGCTCCGCCGGACGACTCATACAACCCGTCTAGGGAGTGTCATTCTTGAGCTGTCGGTTGCGTCGAACATGCGCAGCGCACACTTGGTCGTACACAGCAACGCGTGGTGTCTTACACTCGCCGAAAAACCGCTCCTACAAACGGGCACATTCGAAAGAAGCTAAGCGCAGAGACGATCAGGACCGGAGGGCGTTAGGCCTAACTGCAATCAGTGAGGCTCCGCCGCCGAAGTAAGGCACGATCGTGCGAGTACGTTTCGATTCCGTCGATGGACCACTCGGAAGACACTGCTGAATCGTTGTCACACGAGCACGGTCATAACTGGGCATAATCACGCACGAAATTGGTGCATGTCGGGGGACGCGACAAACACGAACGAAGAGATAGAGCGTAGACGCAACTTCTCGCGTCGGAGGAACGGAGGAAGAGAAGAGCGGAAGAGGAACTAATCAATATTTGGCCGCCAGGGCGGCGCCGCGTCTGTCCCAGACGCTCAGACAGCGGCCAGAGTGTCTCGGTCCTGGTCTGGACCATGTCTGGACTGCCTGAAATTTGGGCGACGAGCCGCCAACATCGAATTGCCTGCTGTCCCGCTTTCAGAATCGTTTCACGCTGTTTTAAGTCAGCAAGTGTATGGTCGTGGTTTGATGAACGGCAAAAATGAGCGATGGCACGCACGCAAGCTCCCATCTGCGATTGATTTCCTAATACGCAAAAAAATACACGTTGATTTCCCGTTTGTCTATGCACACTTAGTGAGCTGCTTTGTATGTACTGTTTGGCGGTGTATGGGATACGGAGGAATAATCTCGAAACATTAAAAAAATCGTGCTTCATTTTTTGTGTCTATGTCTGGAGCTACAAGCGACTAGGAAGTATGGACCTTTAATTCTAGAGTATCACCACCTAAAGGACCACAAGAGCATATTTCAACAAAAAATGCGTAAAAATGCAGGTAAGTTAGTGCATGACTTGCAAAATTTGCATATTCTGGAAGAAATAAAGAAAACGGGCATGCAGCACAAAACAGAGACGACATCCGCCCGAGAATGGGGCACAAAAACAAAAAAAAAAAAAAAAAAACAAAAAAAAAAAAAAAAAAGAAAAAAAGAAGAGGACGACAGACAACCATAGTCTCAAAGTCCGGCGACATAAAAATTAATAAAAAATACGGACAGCACAAAAATTGTGAGACTTGTGTTGTGACTCTACTTTTAATTCTCCACTGGCATAGAGTTTTTCTTGTCATCTTGTGATCGAAGTGCATGGGTTATGGCTTATTTGCAGTGTTGGGTAAAGTACATCTAACAAGTACTTTAAATAAAGTACAGTTTCTCCCCCCCCCCCCCCCCCCTTAGATATTTCAGACTATTAAAGAAAACAACACGAGGAAAGAAGGCATGGTCGAGCTTATTTTAATCTGAAATTATTTATGCATATGTATAGCTACTGTCGCTCTTCACTGCATAAAAGATCGCGTAGATGGTCATTGTTAGAAACTCGTTGTCAGAAGGCACTACTCGTCACATGCTCGGTGGTTCGAACTTTTTGACCTAAATAACTGTGCCATTGGTAAAATAAATAAATAAACAAATAAATAAATAAACATAACAAATATTGCAAACATAAAAAGGCTAGAGAAAAAAAAACTATCAAAACCCGCCGGAAGTGTTGTATTCTTGCATATTCAGAGGCCTAGAACTACGAAACAAGTTTCTCCTACCAAAATGTGTACAGGCTAAAAGAAACGTCCTAAAAACGTGAAAAAAAAAAAAAAAAAAAAAGAATCAATAAAAATGTTTTTTTTTTTCTTTATGACGTGCTGAACTTGAACAGTTTTAGAAATCTTCCCCCATGAGTTATTTATTTCTCAACGTGAAAGAACAATAAATACATAATTTTGTATTCTGCAGATGGTAACGATATGTACTGTCTGTGGTTATAATTTAAATGCAAGAACAAAATCCTAACCGAGCACGAAAAAAAGAACAAAAAAGAACAGATGAGACAAGAATGGACAATCGCGCGTTGCTGTCATTCTGACTAACGTCTGACCTCGGTCACCGTATTTATACATATAGTATCAATTTGTTTTCTTTTCTGAGCTTGCGATACACTTCTACTGATTCATGTCAGCGAGTACAGACATTCGTGCGTGTTTCCGCTATCGCTGGAGTGCTCGATGGGGTAATCAAAACGGTCGCAGATATGGATAAACAAAAACCCAAATCAGCAGCAAAAAAAAAAAAAAAAAAAAACGAAAAAATTGGGGGTGGAGAAAGAGAGAAAGAGTGTTGTGTTGCATATTATGCTTACGATATAATTGTATTCGGGTCTCGCTCCTTCTATTTACCAAGTGTGCTCAGCAAGCATGTTATGGGCTGTTTTCGTCTGCTGCGTACTTTTCGTCGCCGGTCAGCGCGCGTGCTCCCCTGGTGACCTTGGACGCTCCGTGCCTAGGGGAGCAACGGCGCGATGGATGGATGGATGGATGAATACGGCTGAGCCCTTTGGATCGGGCGGTAGCTTACGCCACCTAGCCATTTTGTTTTCCCATTTAAGCTTAAAATATTTAAATGTGAAATCTATATTCACTCCGCAGTGCAAAGAAAGTGAGGCTATGAAACCCCCTTGCCATCAGTGAATAAGAAAATAGCTAGTTTTCTCTCGATTTCTGCCACCATTCACTTAATCTTTGCTTGGTAATCTCTACAGTCTTGAAATCCACTTTCCCTTCGCTGTCTCTAAAACCCAATGACAATTTATTAAATCTATATTGTCTTCGGTAGGCATAGGGTGAAGCCCTTTACAGTAGAGTATCAAGTGCTCAGCCGTCTCGTCCTCCTCTCCACAAGCAGTGCACACTGTATCAATTTCCTGGTACTTCACTCTGTATGTTCTGGTTCGCAGAACACCCGTCTTCGCCTCAAACAGCAATGAGCTACCCCTAGAATTGTCATAAATGCTTTCTTTGGCAATAACTCTTTTGTTTAATCTATAGCTTTCCAGAGCCGTCTTTGTCTGCATTCCCTCTAGCCACCGATCTCTTTCTGTGGCCTTAACTTTCTTCTTAACTGAGACTTTCTCTTCCGTATCTTCGCTATAGCCAAAAAAACTTTCCTCTTAATTTCCTAGTGCGCTGTCTCCACTTTGTGCCTACACTCCTCATGTATAAATAGCTGAAAACCTTTCGTGCCCATTGCTCCCCATCCATTTGACTCAACCTATCCTCAAATTCAATCTTGCTAACCGCTTCCCTGCTCTCAAATGATGCCCATCCCATGTCTCCTTGTACTCCCTGGTTTGGCGTTTTGCAATGTGCCCCCAAAGCCAGTCTACCTACTCCGCGCTGTTTTATTTCTAGTCTTGCATGCACTTCGGATTTCATGCATAGAGTGGGCGTTTTCCAAAAGTCAAGCCAGGCACCATGACCCCTTTCCAAATGTCTCTCACCACCTGTGTAATTCCAAAGTGCTCTATTTTCATTACAGCTGCATTTCTGTTGCCCTTACCTATTATATACTTTTCATGCTCACTGAGGTATTCTGCACCATCACATATCGATAGCTCCTGGATACTTGTATTTATACTAGCTCTCTCAATTGTAATATCCTGTATCTTCAGCCTCTCAACTTCATTCTCGTAAAAAATCATGACTGCTGATTTTTCGCTACTGAATTCTAAACCTAATTCCCCTCCTTCCCTACCACAGATGCTCATTAACTCCTGCAACTCTGTCCTGTTGTTAGCCATTAGTACAATATGATCCGCATACATCAATCCCGGTAAGGATTGCTGAATTTTTTGGCCTAGCTTACTGTAAGAAAGGTTGAATCCAAGCCCACTCTTCTCTAGTCTATCCTCCAATCCTCTCAGATACAACATAAACAGCAAAGGCGATAACGGGCACCCCTGCCTAAGGCCTCGTCTTATCTCTATTTTCCCTGTCGCCTGTCGCGCTGATGGACACGCAGCGCCATTGGGTGAGCGGTCGTGGCAACTGATGATAGCAGCGGCCAATGGGAGCCCCGTCGATGCGCGCCAGCCAATGGACCTGAAGGCGAAATGCAGAAACTAGGTGCCGTTTTCGCGCTTCAAACTGATGACGTCAGCTCGCTCCATGGGACAGTTAATGCCTGTACGTCTTTCAAAGGACGAGAAACGTTGCTGCGCCCCTTATATTTCAGCGAGGAAATCCACCGAACAGAAGGCACAGCTTTCCTCCTCGCTGTCGTCTCCTCCTCCCTTTCTTATTTTAGAGAGGTTAAGGACGAACAAATAAAACGGCGGAGGCCTTGACGATAGCCAACAAAGTCTGCTAATGGCTACGTCGTGCCCTATGTCATGAACACGCTTCAAACCCTTGTCCGAAAACGCTAGCAGAAAATTAATTTATCCCGTGCGTAAAAAAAAGTTTTAAAGCGGACCGGAAGCGGAGGGGAAACCTCCACTTCCGTCAAATTCGAAATTTAGGAATTCAATATTTGTGAAGCAAAAAAAAAAAAAAAAAAAAATTCTAAAGCCGTCATTGAAGTTCCCGCGCGATCCTCGCCAGTGCAGTGACGTCAAAGATCGAACCGTCCTGCAACTCGAGTTTCTCTCACGCCTCCAAGCCGCCGCGACCCGAAGTGTCGTGTTCGCCCGCGTGCTGCGGACAACCGGTTTCCTCCGTGCGTGCCGCCTATCGCTGCGAGCAGACGACGCTTGACTTTCGAGTTTGAAGTTCTTTTAGGACCCTTTCAGGTTTCAGCGATCTTAAATTCTTTGAAACGGTTTTAGATCGAAGAGAATGCGCAGTGGACTTTTGTGAATGACGTGAGGGGCCACGTCGCACCGGTTCGGCGTGAAAGGCTGCCCCGGCGGAGTCAGAACCGAAACTACGGTACACAGACACCAAACCCAGTTGCTTTGACCCCTTGGCGATTTAGTTTTCGAAGTCTGAGAAGAACTTGTCGGGCACCTAAAAATGAGAACTTCGTCCGATTCGCCGACCCACCGATCATCCTCAGGCGCCCTCTCCATAACTCCCGGGAAATTCAGCGGATTCGGCGGGGTAAAACGGGAGAAAGTGCGCGCGCCCGACTCCGCCAGCAGACGACAAATCGGGAGGTTGCCATTCTCCATCTTTGGGCTGTACGGAACATCGAACTATCGCTCGTGGCTGCCGTTGTGAAGTGGTTCGCGTTCTTAGAATAGTTATGGCTACTCCAAAATCAGCCTATAGCTCTCCGTTTTTGTTTTGGGTAAATGATCAACCAGCATATCTTTTTTCCGTCAGCCGGCAGTACTACCCTCAAATTATTTATGCAGTTCTGTCACGCCGACCGTACAAATTATACAAAAGGTCCGACTTCGCTACGATGATGGCAGTTTCGACCGATTCAGCGCCAGCGCAAGTTTTTTGTTCTGTCAAAATTTTCAACGCGCAAAGTTATGCGGATGAGGAG